CACCAACGGGATACAGGGCGCCCTCTTCACGATCGGCTGGAAGGCCATCTCTGAGATGATGAACAAGTGAGGAGGGGGCGTAGCCTTGAATCGGGTGCGTCTAAGGGAGGGGGGCTTGTCCTGATGGGGGATACGACTATCATGGCCGGGCCACGAGATCTCTCCGATCATCTGGCCCCTTCATTTTCTGATTATTATTCTTATGAATTTTATTATTATTATTATTATTCTTTTTACTATTATTATTATTATTAGTATTATTATTTTTAGTATTATTATTATTGTTGTTTTTTCGTATTACTGGTGTTTTTCTTATAGTGTTGTTATTCGTGTTCTTCTCGTTTTCTTTGCACACATTCCTCGGTCCCATGCGTCGACGCAAGCGCCTCGGGCCATTTGCGCTAACCCCCCTCTTCCTGGTCCCCCTCCTCGGCGCACACGGTTTCAGAGCAGCGGTTACTTTGATGGTCCGTCCAAGGCCTGCTGGAATAGGCGAGGCAAGAGGCTATGTTTTGTCGCGCATGCAAGCGTTGCTGCGAGCGCATCTTGTAAGAGTTACCCAGTTTGCTGGCGACCGCTCCGTAATACGATTCTGCATTGGATGCGGTACATGCCGCTAATCTTGCATGAGCTTTTCCGATACAAGAGGCCGAGAAACCAGTGCTGCGGCTTGACGGGATAATTCCGTCAAAAGCAAGGCACGCGGTGAACCCGGTCGATGTTCGCAAACAGCCGGGAGGCTCTATGGGGACGCAGCCAGCGCGATACTGGAAAATCATTTCCACCGCTTTGATGAATTGCGATATGCACACGCCGTTGCATTGTCTTTAGGGAGCCCTCGCCGGTTCAATGAACCCGATCATTCAACCGCGGTCGGATCGTCCTGGGAATTGCGACCGCGGTCGATTGACCCGCCCTCTGATCGTTCGAGCGCGGTTGACCAGTCCCAGGGATTGTCCGACCGCGAGCGATCGAACATCGAGTGACCGCCGTTGAACGTTTTTGGGGAGGGCCGCCTCCGAGTCGTCGGAGACGCCTTCGGCGAGCCACCGCCGCCCAGTGTGGGCACCCCACACAAGGCTGGAGTGGACCACGTGCTCCCCCAGCCGTTGTGGAAACCCTCAAGGAACAGATTGGGCCGGAAGACGGAGAGGATGAGGAGGAGGAGGAGGAGGACAGGATGCAGAAGGAGGACCGGACCAGGAGGAGGAGGAGGAAGAGAAGAGAAAGAGGATGTCTCTCGGATGCATCGTGGGGGCTCCCGGGGGCCTCGTGGGGGCCCCGGAGGGAGAGATCGGTGGTCTACTGCGGGCTTCTCTGTGGGGCCTCTCTGGGGGCCTTTCGGGGGCCTCTCAGGCCGTCTTCGGGCTTTGTTGGCCCGTCCGACGCCTTCGGTGGTCGTGTTGGAGCCGCCGAAGGCGCTTCAGGGCTGTCTTGGGAGTCGGGAGTCTGTTGACCCTTGGGGCCTTTGGGGCCTGCTTGTTGCGGTCTCGGGAGCCATCTTGGGGGAAAAGCTCAAACCATCAGCTCGGGCACATCCTCTAAGCTTTTTGGAGCCGTCGTGGGGTACCCTTCAATAATTAAAAAAACATGCGAGTGTCAACAGACCAGACCGAGACAGCGAGTCTGCGAAGAACATACAACAAGCTGAAGGTTTTCAATGCTCTTGGCCCCTTGGACTGGCCCCCGAGGGCCTCCAAGACGACCCAATAGGGCTCCAGCCATGTTGGAAGTGGGGATTCCAGACCACGCTTCCGAGGCCAGGAAGAGTCACGCGGGCATTCCCGAGAGCGCCCACGAGCGCCCATGATTCGGGGGCCCTGCGCCCTGAGCAGCACTTGGAGGGACCTGGGGCACTGACTCAGTTCGCCCTCGGGAAAGGTTCAGGAGGGAAAAAAACACAGACACAATTAATCCTCGATTCCCCAGAAAATATGGGAAAATATGGGAAGGGGGGGGACGACGGAACACCCGAAAATATAGGGAATCCTTTTATTTGTGGGTATTTATTTGTGTGTCCCAGGGCCCCTTCAAAGGTCTGGGCATCTGGCCCGGCACACCCTGCGAGGCCAGAGAGCACACGTGAAGTGGCCGGCCTGTGCAAGAGTGACACACTGTTTTCGACTCCACGTAAGAGTGACCTTTCGCCGGAGTGACCTCTGGTGCGGGCTCATGGGTCTCCCCCCGATCGCCGAGCGCGATGCGATGTAAGCGGCCCGCGCCCTTGGGCTTGGCTCCCTCGCGCCCCCCAAAGCTGCGCACCAAAGGTCACTCTTACCCAGGGCCACTCTTACGCCTAGCCGATGTTTGGCCTGCAGCGGGGGGGCGAGCGCACCGCGGTCGGAGCGGCAGCTGGGCTGCGGGCGAATGGCGCACAGATGAGGCACGAAGGAAGGAGGAGGGGCAGCCGCGGCTAGGGACGATCGAACAACACGCACCCATACCCATAGGGGGGGCGGAGGGGGCTATGGGTGCGTGTTGTCGGATGGGGGTCCCCGCTCGAACGGGAGCTTCCCCCAGGGTCCGACAACCCGCACCCATACCCATGGCCAGTCCTCCTCCTTCCGACCCTCCTATGGGTATGGGTGTGTGTTGCTCGCTCGTCAGCTAGGGGGACGAAGGAGGGCACAGTCAGAGCATGAAGCCTTTCGGATGTTGCTCTGCAGCTCCAGGCTCCGGAGGGAGCCGGTGCACCGCCGGGTCGGCCAGGAGCTGCAAAGTGTGGGGCGCGTGCGTGTGGTAGAGTAGCGAGAGCTGGATGCTCACGCGGCCACATGTGACATGCCTTTCCAGTCAAGCAGTGGCGAAGCGTCTTGGCTCGCCTATAGCCCTACCAAACAATGTTCTAAGAACCGCTTGTGGCTTTCGCGAAATGTTCTTAGAACATTTCTGGCGGAGTTTGTCTTGTTTTATCACATCGCGTTTATGTTCTAAGAACTTTGTCTGTGTTCTTAGAACATGTTTGGGTCCTATAGCGGCCCCCGCAGGCCTCCACGCGCGAATCCAGCCATGCGTGCTCCCAGCCTCCTGGCGGCGTGAGGGGCGACAGTTTGGAGCGCGCGGGGCGACAGTTTGGAGCGCGGCGCCTCTTCGTGGCCGAGGCTTGCCGTGCCCTCCTCCTCCTCCTCCTCCTCCTCCTCCTTCTCCTGCTCCTCCTCCTCCTTCTCCTGCTCCTGCTCCTCCTCCTCCTCCTCCTCCTCCTCCTCCTCCTCCTCCTCCTCCTCCTCCTCCTCCTCCTGCTCCTCCTGTTCCTGGAGGGTGGCGGGCTGGCCGACCAGGGTGGCTCCAGGAGGCCCCCGCGCGGCACCCGGAGGGGCGCCCAAGAGAGCTCCATGAGCTCGGAGGTCCGGGCCGCGGAGAGCCCCACGGAAGGCCCGCGCCGCGCTGCCGCGGCGGCCGCCGCGGCGCGGCCCTCTCCGGGCGGAACGCCCCCGCGCAGTGGCCCGGAGCCGGCCGACATCGCGCAGCCCGCGCTGTCGAGCAGGCGCGATGTCCCAGGCCTCCAAGGCTCTGACAAAAATCCAGACGGAGGTTTTTCTCGATTTTCGGCCTCCAAGAAACGACTCAGGATAAAAAACTGGTCCTGGGAAACGGGTCGAGACTTCCGGGGACCCCATATGGGAAAAATCACGATATCGGATCTCTGGGCTCTCGAGGCTGAACGATCCGTGCGGTGTCGGACCCAGCGCTCCGGCGTCGTCACGACGCGAGATTGTCGCACACGTTCCCTCTCTCTCTCTCTAGTGCTTGGCACGGAGCGCAGGGGTCCTGAGGGAGACTCCCCGAGGCCTCCCCCCAGGAGACCAGAACGATAGTAGTGGCCTCCGGCCAGTGCCGCCGATCCGGGGCGCTCCCAATGGTGCTCGGGTTCGCTTGGAGGCCTACGGGGCCGCCGTGGAACCTTCTTGGGGCCGTCGTAGAAAGACGCCTCTTCAAGGGGTTTTGAGATGCTTGGGGGCTTCTTGGAAGCCCTCTTGGCAGTCTTAGGGCGTTCCTGGCCCGTCGGACGCCGTCGGAAGCCGTCTTGGGCGCTTCGCTGTGCCGTCTGGGAGCACTCTGGGGGCGCTTCAGGGCCGTCTTGGAGGCTATCCTGGCCGTCTTGGGGGCATATGGGGCCAGGGGGCATATGGGGCCATCTTGGGACCCTCTTGGGGTCGTCTTCACCCCCCTTCCCTGGCAGAGCCACCCCAGCCCCCCCACAGCAGAGCTGAAATTCAGGCTGTAGGTTGTAGCTTAGGCCCTTTGAAAGTCACACGCAAGATCGGCGGATTTTTCTAAGCCTCCCAGATGGGGTCCGAGAAGAGATGGGGTCGGAGGATCGCGCTGCATCGCCGATACATCGGCGATGCGGTTCGATGCGGAGCCCGATTTTCTCCACGCCGACGGGGCCGATGCATTGCCGATGCATCACCGACGTCGCCGATACATTGCCGAAGCGGTGCGATCTTCCGACCTCTATCTACTCGGACCCCATCTGGAAGGCCTCTGATTTCGTCCTGATTCGTTTTCAGACGATCCTTGGGCCCGCGGAGGGCACAAGGAGGTCAAGAAGAGCGAGAGACTCAGGGCCTGCGTCCTTCAGGACCCGCTCGCGCCATGGCGATTTCTGGCTGCCCCTCACAGCCGGTGGCGCCCGCCTGGCCACGTCCCCTCCAGGAGCGCGTCGAGCAGCTGGAGGGCTGGATCGGGGACCCGCTCAACCTGCCCAAGGCCCGCGCTCCCTGGCCACGAGACAGGCCTCTGACCTCCAGCGATTCGTGTGGCGCACACATCGCTGGACACACACTCGATTGTGCGTGCGTGTGCGTGTGCGTGTGCGTGTGCGTGTGCGTGTGCGTGTGCGTGTGCGTGTGCGTGCGTGCGTGCGTGTGTGTGTGTGTGTGTGTGTGTTCCCACCTACGCCTCGACGCTGCGTGCGAGGCAGCGGCGCCAAGTGTGTGCGCGTATGTGTGTGTGTGTGTGTGCATGTGTGTGTGTGTGTGCATGTGTGTGTGCATGTGCGTGCGTGCGTGCGTGCGTGCGTGCGTGCGTGCGTGCGTGCGTGCGTGCGTGCGTGCGTGCGTGCGTGCGTGCGTGCGTGCGTGCGCGCTTGTGTATGTGTGTGTGTGTCTGTGCGTGGATGTGTTCGTGCGTGTGCGTGTGCGTGTGCGTGTGCGTGTGCGCGTGCGCGTGCGCGTGCGTGGGCGTGGGCGTGGGCGTGGGCGTGGGCGTGGGCGTGGGCGTGGGCGTGGGCGTGGGCGTGGGCGTGGGCGTGGCGTGCGTGCGTGCGTGCGTGCGTGCGTGTGTGTGTGTGTGTGGTGTGTGTGTGTGTTCTCCCCGTCTCCGCTTTCGCCTCTCCTCCTTCCGCGTCCGCTTCCCCGCCTGCCCCGCTTCTGCCCCCTCCTGCCCTCCCTCATGCCCGCCTCTGCGTCGCAGTCGTCCGCTCTCGCCGCCCCCGCTGCCGCCCCTCCTGGTTCTCCTCTCGTTTGCGCTTGCTCGTCTCCAGCTTCGTACCCGCTGTGACCCCAGCGGTGCTGCTCACGTGGGCGTCGTGCGTGTGATCGACGCCTACGCTTCCCCTTGATTTCGGCCTCGGGAGGCCCGCTTCTTGGAACAGGAGAAAACCGACACCACCTCCACCAGGAGTGCCACCCCCGTCGAGTAGGTCCACGGTGCTTCCCTGGGCTGGGCATAGGGGATGTCTCGAGCGGGGGGTGGAGAGTGCACCACCAGGAGGGTCCCCTCTTGCTCATCGCTCTGGTGGTGGTAATGTCGCTTTCCCTTGTTCCTGCGTTTCAGGACCCAGCTGGACCACCAAAAGACGGCGCGAGAATGAAAAGCTGGCCCTCGCTGGGGGGCTCCGAGGACCCTTCGCTGACATCATCATGGCGTCGGAGGTCTAGGTAGCGGTGAGTTTCGAGGATCGACGTCTTTGGACGCGCTTGGCCCTCGCTGGGCCTCCGAAGGAAGGCCTCCCGGGGGACCTCCGGCCGACGAACTCTGGCGGCACAGGATCCCCAGCTCCAGAGATTTGCAGAGACCATCCAGAGGGAGAACTGGGCCGGACGACAGGGGGGGGGCTTGTGAAAGGGGGGGGCTATGAAAGCTACTGATACTGCACGCAGCCAGTTTCGGCCCCGCCGCCATGCGCTTTCCTCGAGACATGGATGGGCGCCTCCGTCGCCGAAGGGAGGAGCTGGGCAAACCAGCCGCCTGAGCTGATTCGTGAATCCCATCTTTTGACCCCCCTCCCTCTTCCGTCAGACCAGAGGGCTTCGCCGTTTTGTGCGCCCTTTCTGGAGTTGCATGTTCCTCCCTCGACCTCCTCTTCCTGCTAATTTCCTCTCCTCCACGGGAAAGACTTTTGGACCCCTGCCCTTCTACTCTTCCTCGTGCTCCTCCTCCTCATCATCGGGGGAGGCGCGAGGGATGGAGTCGCATAGGTCGTGGACGTGTCGAAGCTGTTCTCCCCTCAGACCTACTTGACTGCCATCAAGCAGGCCTGCAGATCCTGGACGAGTTGTGAGGAGACGATGGCGGGGGAAGGAGGGGGATGGCAGAGGCTATTTGATGGGAGGAGGTGAGGAAGAGCGGAGGGGGAGGGGAGGGGAGATGATGGAGGAGGAGGAGAAGGAGAAGGAGAGTGAGAAAGACGGAGGAGGAGCTAAGAGGCTGAGAATGAGTATGAGATTGAGTAGCAGGAGCAGGAGGAGGAGGAGGAGGAGGACAGGAGAGGGGGAACGAGAAGAGCAGGGATGGGAAAGGTACAGGGCACATTCCTGCAGTTGACTCGTGGGAGGGAAGGGGAGGGGGAGGGCAGGAGAAGGAAGGCAGAGAAGCGGGGAGGGCAGCGAGGCGAGGAGGAAGAAGAGGAGGAAGCGGAGGAGAAGAAGAGCAAGAGCAGAAGGGGAGAAGCGAACGAGGAGGAATAGGAATGTCCTGACCTCAGCCAAAGCATGCTTCCAGAGAAGATGGATGAGTCTGTCATCCTCCTTCGTGATTCCTTCTCCCTCCTCCGCCCTCGCCCCCCCCCCCACCAGGGCGCCTGCCATCCTCATCATTGGAAGATGGTAGTTCCACCTCGCCCTCTTCTCCCTCCTCCTCCTTCTCCTCCTCCTCCTCTTCCTCCTCCTTCCTCGTTCCCGTCTCTTTTCTTCCCTCCTTTTCCCTGGCTTATTCCCCTCTTCCTTCCTTCCCCCTCACTCTTCCTAATTGACTGTCGATTCTCCCCTCACCTCCACTACCTCCCCTCCCCCTGTGAGACCCCCGTGAGGGCTCAGAAGCAAGAACAAAAGTCCTCGACGAGGCCCGACGAAACCTCAGAAAGCGACGACGACGACGACGACGACGACGACGACGACGACGACGACGACGACGACGACGAACGACGCCCCCGAAGGATGGCGCGACCCTTGCGCGGCGGCCGCACCCCGCCAGAAGCTGGCCGTGCGCCCCCCACCCCTTCTCGGGAGACGCATCGACCTCCAATCGCCCATGGATCATCGCTAGGGGTCTGACACCCCCACTCCTCGGGGGGCCTATCTCGGGAGGCGACAACCCACCCCCACCCCCCGTCCCGACGCCCATCCCCGAGCCGGCGATTCAAGGGGTCGGGATCGGGGGTGGGGGTGAGTTTTCTCCGTTCCTGGACCCCGAAAGCCCACCCCCACCCCCAGTCCCGACCCCTTGAATCGCGGGTTCGGGGATAGGGTCGGGACTGGGGGTGGGGGTGGGTTTTCGCCTTCTCACTGTCGCCAGTCCATCAGCGATGCGTCGCCGACTCCAGCTCGATGCCCTCTTCCCCCGTAGCCAGTCCATCCCCCAGCGCTGCCCCTCGCCCTCTGGCGGCAGGTGTGCTGCCAGCACGACCGCCTCGAGCTCGACAAGCTCAAGGCGGCCCCCCACCTCTCCGCCCTGCGCCGCCGTGGGCCCCCCGCGCCCGCCGACCGAGGGCGCCCCGCGGTGGCCGCCGCTGCCCACTGCCGTCCGCCTGCCGCCCACCTGCCGCCCGTCGCCGCCGCCCGCCGCCGCCGCCGTTTGAGCGACCCCGGAGAACGGAGTCGGCCGTGTCGGAAAGCACTGCTCTCGCCGAAGGCCGGACGATACAATGCGCGTGGGATCAGAGACCAGCGCCGGCGTCGGCCGACGCTGTCACGGCAGTTTGCTGCTCCTCCTGGTTTTCTCTCTTCGTCCCCCCTCTCTGCTCCTGGTCATCCCGTGCCCTCCTCCGTGTCCTCATCGTGCTGTCTCTTCCACTCCTTCCTCGCTCCTCTCCGCACCCCTCCTCGTCCTCATGCGTTTATCCCTCCTCGCCCTTCTTCCCTCCCTCCCTTCCTCCCTCTTTCCCTCCCTCCCTCACCACCCACCAAACCACCCCAACCCAACCCGAAGGCCTCAAATTGCCCTCCATTTCCGGTTGGGGGGGGTCGGGGAACATTGAAAAAACACATATGGAACCCGTATCCCCCCCAACCCGAAATTGGGGTCTTCGGGTTGGGTTGGGGTGGTCTGGTAGGTAGTCACTCCCTCCCTCCCTCCCTCCCTCTTCCCTGCCGCCCTCCCTCCCTCCCTCCCTCCCTCTCTCCTGTCGGCCCCCCCCGCGGGCGCGGGCCGTGGCCGGGGCGCGGCCCAGGTGTTCACCGACGTGACGAAGCGGGACATCAAGGCCACGCCCCGCCCTTGCGAGGAGGGCGGAGGAGGAGGAGGGAGGAGGGAGGAGGAGGAGGATGAGGAGGAGGAGGAGGAGGAGGAGGAGGAGGAGGAGGAGGAGGAGGAGGAGGAGGAGGAGGAGGAGGAGGAGGAGGAGGAGGAGGAGGAGGAGGAGGGAGGAGGAGGAGGAGGAGGAGGAGGAGGAGGAGGAGGAGGAGGAGGAGGAGGACGAGGGAGGAGGAGGAGGAGCAGGACGAGGAGGAGGAGGAGGAGGAGGAAGAGGAGGAGGAGGAGGGGGACGAAGGGTGCAGGGACGAGGGATGGGGAGGAGAGAGGGTACGGCAAGGGGTCAAGAAGAGCGAGTGTGAGAGGGGAGGGAGGACGGGAGGGAGGGATCGAGGACGCTGTATGCAGGGGAGGGGTGAATCATTGAAGGGGTAGTGGAGGGGTAGGACCGGGGTAGGGGGGCATAACGGCACCTCGCGTTTTTGAAGTTTTCCAGTTCCTCTCTCTCTCCCCTTCTCTCTCTCTCTCTCTGTCTCTCTCTCTCTCTCTCTGTCTCCCTCTCTCTCTCTCTCTCTTCCCGTCTGTGGAGGACGCTCAGATTGATTCTCTTTTTTGCGAGGAGCTACAAGTTGATTCCGTTTGTGGGAATTCCACATTGATTTCCTTTGTGGGGGGCTACATGTTGATTTCCTTTGTGGCGGAATTACAAGTCGATTCCCTTTGTGGGTGGTTTCAAAAATATTCCCATTGTGGGGAGTTTCACATCTATTCTCTTTGTGTGTGTGTGGGACGGGAGGGTCTGGCCGCCCTGGGGGGAGGCTCCAGGAGAGAAAAACAAAACGGACTCCCTGAATCCACTGGCCCGTTTTTTGAGGGGGGCCAGGAAAAAAACAGAGCCAGTGGATCCAGAGGGCCGTTTTTTTGTTGTTGTGATCTTTCCCCCAGGGCCAGACCCTCCCCTCCTCCGCCACAAAAGGAATCAATACGTACCTCCTCACACACAGGGAATCTTTGTGTAACCCCCCACAAAGGGAATCGATTTGGAATCCCGCCACAAGGGAAATCAATGTGTAGCCCCCCGCACAGGAAATCCATTTGAAATCCCCAGAAAGGGACCCTATTGTACCTCACAACAGAGAATTTGTTGTTGCCCCCCCCCTCCCCCCCCACATCCCGCACATAAGGAATCGGGTTGCAATTCCGCCACAGGAATCTGTTTGTAGCCCCCACCAAAGGGGAATCAGCGTGTACCCCCGCAACGGAAATCAATTTGCATTCCCTCGCACAAGCGGAATCACTGTGTGACCCCCACACAAAGGGACCGCAGAGAGGGAGACCTTCAATCATCTCAAGATCCTTCCCTTCCCCTCAGGAAGGAGGAGGAGGCGGAGGAGGAGGAGGGGCTTCCCTTCCCATCCCCCCAGGAAGGAGGATGCGGAGGAGGAGGAGGTTCATGCAGAGGAGGAGGAGGAGGAGGAGGATGCGGATCCCTTTCTGACTCTCAGGACGGACGAGGAGGTCCCCGTACCTTCGCTCCCCCTTAGGACAGGGTGGTCCTTCACTCCCCTTTCCTGCAGGGTGTAGGAGGAGGAGGCTCCTCCCCTTCCTTTTCCTTCAGAAGGAGGAGGAACAGGTGGAGGTTGGAAAGGAGGTTCCTTCCCTTCCCTTTGCCTCAGGGAAGACGAATAGGAGGTCCCCTTTCCTGCCCCTTTCCATTAGACGAAGGAAGAAGAGGAGGAGGAGCAGGGCCATTCCCCGCCTTTCCTTCCGGAAGGAAGATGATGAGGAGGCCCCTTCCTTCATTTTCCCTCGGGAGGAGGATGGGGAGAAAAAGGAGGAGAATCCTCCCCTTTCTCTCCCTCAGGAAGATAGAGGAGGATGTTCCCTCCTCTTCCCTGTCCCCCAGGAAGTCCCTCCCTCGCCAGCCAGGGCCAGGCACTCCACGCGGAGGAGGAGGATACGTTGGGTGAAAGAGGAGGAGGAGGAGGAGGAGGAGGAGGAGGAGGAGGAGGAGGAGGAGGAGGAGGAGGAGGAGGAGGAGGAGGAGGAGGAGGAGGGAGGAGGAGGAGGAGGAAGAGGAGGAGGAGGAGGAGGAGGAGGAGGAGGAGGAGGAGGAGGGGGAGGGGGAGGAGGAGGAGGTGGTCCTGCAGAGGCCCACGAGGCGCGCCGGGCCCCGGCGAGAAGGAGGAGGGCGAGGTGTCGCCGACGCCCACGAGCCTGCCTGGTCGCCCAGGGGCGGGGCCTTCGGCCTCGGGTAAAGGCCCCAGCAAGAAAACAAAAAAAACGCCCCCCTGCTGCGCGATTTGTTTGACAAAACCTATCATAGTTGTGTACATATATATAGCCGGACCTTCCCCTTCCCCCACGCAAAAGTGAATGAGTATGAGCGTCTTCCATAGGGGAAGAGGTAGAGAGAATTAGGGGAATATATAAACAGAGATAGAGAGAGCGAGGGAGAGAGAAAGAGAGAGGGAGAGAGAGAACAACAAAAACATAGACATTTGAAAACCTCAAAAACGCGAGGTGCCGAGAAGCCCCCCAACCCGCATAACCGACCTCCAGAGACGAGCGCCCAGCACTGCCGCTCGCCAGAGCCACAGGTTGTCCCGAGTACCTCGCAACCCCATCAGTGCCTTCACCCCTCGAGGAGGCTTTCGGGCATTCGCCCTCCCTTCGCCGTGGCGATGTTGCGTCTCCTGCCTGGAGGGATACGAAGCAGGCGGCGCGTCGATTTCAGGTTGACAATCACCGGCGCCCGAGGGTCCGCCTGACGAAGGAGGCCGCCAAACGGTAGCCCTTTTCGTCAGGTTCGGCAGGGCCACCGAAAGTTGTGGGACAGTCCCTCGTGCCCTCCTTGCCGCCCTTTTTTCCTCCTCCTCTGCCTTTTCCTCCTTGTTATATATATATATGTGCATGTATATATATATACACATAGATCTATATATATATATGTATACTATCTATATGTGTGTGTCCGTATCTGTAGCTACACATATGTATATGTATATATTTATGTATATATGTATGAAAATTTATACGTATATATATATATATGTAAATGTACATACGAATGTCCACATATGCATTTGCATATGCCGATATCTATGTATAGTTGCATCCATATATATATATATATGTGTGTGTGTGTGTGCGTGTGTATCCCCATGTGCGTGCATGCATATATCGCCCCTTATACATGTGTATCGCGGCATGTGCACAATCCGATAAATTTATACACAAACATCGATACATATGTCGATGTGTGTGCATACATGTATGCATGCATCGATGCATACATAGGTATTCGAATGTGGACGTTTGTGTGCGTATCTATTTGTGATATATATATATATATATATATATATGTGGTGATGCGCCGATCTATCTATATGACTGCAGTCATATAGCCGTATATTTATACATCAGTGTCGATATCAATATATAATCTATTCACGTCGTTGAACAGCGTCCATACATACGCGTATTCGGCATGTATATCAATGGTTGTATACAGGTGCTTATATATACATATCTATGTATAGATGCACATCTGTATTTATGTACGCCCGTGTGTGTATATATACATACATACATGTGTGTATAACCAGCAAGCTACCACCATATACGCATGATATGCATATATATGTGCGTTTAGCTATTTAGCTGATGCGTATATATACACGAATATGTATACAACTATAGATACATAAATATAGATATCGTGTTAGGCGCGCGGCGATGGCAGCCGCCCCTGATCAGAAAACAAAGCAGCTCAGGATATGGCGAAACATGTCCCCAACGAGTCCATCCAAACCCTCAAGAGACTCGGGCTTCGCACGCTTCAGAATTTCGAGTGGCTCAGTCGAGACCGAACCGTCTCAGCAAATCCTCCCGCGACCACCTCGGGCCCCTGAGGGCTGCACAAACGGGCGAGAGGGGTGAGCCCACGCTCCATGAAGCCCCCGAGGGGCAGCAAGGGACAGCAGGTCTGCGGCCGTGATTTCCGAAAGCGGCCCGAGACGCCAGCCCCGATACGGGGCCGCCCAAGACGGCAAATCGGCTCCCCAGGCCCGGGTCAGTTGGCGCATCTTGTGTTTCGTGAGCGGCCTGCCCTGGCACGGTTTCGCAAGGGACAGCGCGGCGGCCCCGGCAGACCCTCTACAGGCGTATCGGACCGTCCACCTGGGCCCCGTCAAGACAGTGGCGCAAGTATATCACGGTCGAATCCAGACGCAACCCGAAGCTCGCCTCGCGCCCGAGGAGCTGCAGCAGCAGCGACGGCTCGGGATCTTGATCACCTCGGGTCGCGGAGTCCGAGCGCTGGGGCCCTGGCCTGCCCCTGGGCACAATCGCCCAGGGCAACAGGCAGGGGATGGCGGCCTTCGGCGGCGGAGGGCCACGCGCCCAGCCTGCTCTCCGTCGGCGACGTGCTCAGGCACTGTGGAGGCCCGTGCCGGGAAACACCCCGCTTGCCTCCCGGGTGTCGATGCTTTGCCAGGTGGAAAGCGTGACGTTCCCACGCAAGAACGCAGTGGACGTCCTGGGGTCTCAGGGTTGGGTTTCTTGTGGGAGGCTTCTTGTGGACTGGCCTTGGGTTTCGATGGTTCTGCGATGGAAAGCGCGACGTTCCCACGCCAGAAAAATCAGTGGACGTCCCGGGGTCTCATGGCTGGGCTTCTTGTGGGAGGTTTCTTGTGGTCGAGCTGCTACTGAACGATAGGTTCATGTCGTGTCGACCGGCGTCGACCCCGCCAGCGGCGTTCGACCTGGAACGCCGCGGGCGACCCAGAATCCTTGGATGTGGAACGATTTGGACGTTTCGGCAACGACCGATCGTTCAAGGTCGAACGACCCCCGCGGCGTCAGAAACCAACGCCGAAGTCGGCACGACACGAACCTGCCGCAGGACATCACAGTCGCGAGGCGCTCCTCGCGCCATCCCGACCTCCTGGGGCCCTGCCCAGACAGCTGCAGGCAGCGGGTGCGAGCCGGGCCGAGTCTCCTCGATGTCCGGCGCGGCGCCGGCCGCGTCGGGGCGACACCCCGCGCGGAGTCTTGCGAATCGGTCGGCATGGCCGTTTCGCAAGCAGTGGCGAAGCGTCTCGGCGTGCCCACAGGTCTGCCAAACAATGTTCTAAGAGCCCTTTGTGGTCTGCACGAGATGTGCTCAGAACCTTCCTCGCCGGCGCTGTCTTGTTTTAACACACCGGGCTTGTGTTCTAAGAGCAGCGCTGCTGTTCTTGGAGCGTATTCGGGTTCTAAGAACTCCTTCGTGGTAGGGCTATAGGATTGCTGGGACGGTCGGTCCCTGTTCAAGTCTGGCAAACCGTTCGGCATGGCCGTCTCCCTTTTCTCCCACTCCGTCGTCCGCCCCCCCATCATAGGGGAACGAAGAACGACACAAACATAACACTCCTGAGGTCCGCGCGGTATTCTCGGATTCGCGCTGGGGCCCCCTGGCGGCGCCTCCGGCGCCGCCCCTGGCGCGCTCCGCGCGACAGTGAGGGGGTCCAACGCCGATCCGAGAAATCCGCGCGGACCTCTGAGTTCCTGTGTTTGTGTCATTGTTTGTTTCCTTATCGTCCGCCCCCCATAACATCACTCGAGGTCGCATGACCCTTGGTTTTGCGGGCCACCAGGCCCGAGGCGAACCTTTGAAACACGCGGGTCCAGGTGTGCGCCCGTGGGTTCGGCGAATCGAGGGGAAGTTGGGGCGAGAGGCAGCAATCGATCGTGCCCTGGCAGCCAGTACAGAACGCAACAGTCTCCTCGACAGAAGCGCAGGCAGAGTGGATCGCGCCGTCCTCTCTCCGCCCCTCGCTTTCTGAAGAGGGGCGGGACCAGCTGGCAGGGCCCTGGAAGCGCACGCTGGGATACGCCCCGACTCGTCGGCCAAAGCCAGTGCCCAGGCCCCTCAGGCGTACGATTGAGTTCACAGTCGAAGCACGGCTGCGGGCACTACTTATATCCATATCCAGAGCGTCGAGGACTTTTTGGGAAGAGGTGCCGCAACGCCGAGGCGCACTGGATATGGATAAAATCAAGCCTCTTGGGGCCAGATTTTTATCCATATCCAGTGCGTCTACGTTTTCTGGGGAAGCGAGCCCAAGAATCCAAGACGCACTGGATGTGGATATAACAATTGCCCGCAAAGGCCGAGGCATCCGAAACCACAGTCCCGCTCAGATGCCCAGCAGCTGGGCGATTGACCCAGTGAATCTGAAGCTCAGGGTCGCACGAGCAGAGCGGTGCAGTGGGCCAGTCCACCAGGCTCGGAAAAATGCCGCAGGCAGCAAGCACGCAGCAAGCACGCAGGGCTCCTCCTCCTCCTCCTCCTGCTTCTCCTGCTTCTCCTCCTCCTCCTCCTCCTGCTCATCTTCCTCTCTTGTTTTCCCTTCTCACCGCCCGCTCGTTCTCCAGAGCCCTCCCGTTGGCCCGCGCTGCAGGCGATAGAGGGGCCAGCCCGGGAGGGCTGGTACGTGACGGGCATGTACCTGGAGGGCGCCCGGTGGGACGTCATCTCTGGCTCGCTCGACGACTCGAAGCCCAAAGACCCCGCATTGGGGTCGTCGGCCGTCGTCATCGGTTGTCGTCGGTCTTTGCCGGTCGTCGTTCGCCATCGGAGGAGGAGCTCGAAAGAGGAGGCGGGGGAGGAGGAGGAGGAGGAGGAGGAGGAGGAGGAGGAGGAGGAGGAGGAGCAGGAGGAGGAGGCGGAGGAGGCGGAAGAGGAGGAGGACGACAAGGAGGAGGAGGAAGAGGAGGAGGAGGAAGAGGAGGAGGAGGAGGAGAAGGAGGAGGACGACGACGAGGACGACGCGGAGGTGGAGGGCGTCGAGGGGGAGGGCCCAGCGCGGGAGGTGGATGGCCGAGTGGGCGGGAGGCGAGGAGGACCAGGAGGAGGAGGGTCGGCAGCCGCAGGGTGAGGAGCATCGGCAGCTGGAGCCGGCCCGGGAGCCGCGCCGACAGGTGGGGCCTCCCGCTGGGGCAGGCCCAGGAGGAGAGGAGCCGCGGTGCAGCAGCATAGTGCCGCGGTTCCGTCCTGCTGGCGCTCCTGCCCAGCTTTGCCCCAGTGTCCCGTACCGGGCAGTTTCCCACTAGTGCTTGACAGCGCTGGGTGTCGGGGGTTCGACCGCCGCGCACGCCGATCCGCGCTCGCTGAGATCTGGCGAAGCCCTGGCCCCAATATTTGTGCTGCATGCTTCCAGCCAGATCGATCTGTGGATGGTCCTGGGGCCCGGCAGTGGGCGAAAAACCGATTGCAACGCCCAGGTCGAAGGCGGGGCCGACTGCGAGGGCATCCGCGCGCAAGTTGTCCGCGCAAGGTCGCGCGCATGCGCCCTCGCTTCGAACGTGGCGTGCTGCGCACCGCGTCAGGTCGGTATGCCATCCCGCGTGAGGCCCGCTTCGCTTCGTCGCGCAGGTGGCCGGAGCCCGCTGGCCGACCCGCTGCCGCTGCCGCAGCGCAGCCGTTTCGGCTGCTATCGAGGCCGCCGCCCCCCCCCTCTCCGCGGACGCCTTGTGTGCGCCGTGCCGCACCGGCCACTCCCGAGGCGCAGGGACGCTACGGTGCACAAGCTCTGTGATGGGCCTGTTTTCCACCACCACCATAAGTTGGAGGGGGGAAGGAGGAGGAGGAGGAGGAGGAGGAGGAGGAGGACGAGGAGGAGGAGCAGGAGGAGGAGGAGGAGGTCGAGGAGGAGGAGGAGGACGACGACGACGACCCCCTCCCCGCCTCGGCTCTCTGCCTTCCCCCCCCGTGGGCGCCATCGATCCTCGACGAAAACACGGCATAAGCAAAAACGTTCGGAGTTCCGCGCGGGTTTCGATTTCTTGGACTTGCGCTGGGTCGCCCTGGCGCGCTCCGCGCGCCGGGGAGGGGCGCCCCATTGCAGATCCAAGACACCAGCGCGCACCGTCGAGAGTTTGTGTGCCTCTGCACTCGCTTGTCCTTCTGACGCTGGGGGGCCTCGGCCCTCCGCCTTGCCCTCTTGGGCGCGCCGCGGAATCCGTCGGCTCTTCCGGGAGGCACATTCAGGGGCAACGATGGAGGGGGGGTAGGCATAGGGGGGATGCATCGACCCCCAATCGCCCACTGATCGCCGATAGGGGTCTGATAACCCCAACCCGCCCAGGTGTGCGTGCTTGAATGATGTACACAGCATCTTCACGACAGTGCATATATGCAATATGTACTTCCTTGATGGCTTCTCTTTCCTCCTCCCTTTGAGTCGTCTCTTTCCTGCCTCCGCCTCTTCTCCCTCCCATGCCTCAGCCCCAGCCCGCCCAGGAAGGCTCGGATTCGCTCTCGGGGGCCCGTCGCCGATCTGTCCGCGAGGTCTTGCCGGTTCCAGGTCGACGCATCCCCCCTATGCCGGTACCCCCCTGTCGTTGCCCCCCGCACATGGGCTGTGGCCACTCCGGCGGCGCGGCCGCCCCCGGGCGCGCGGGCGCGCGGCGCGGCCACGAGCCCGAAGGCGGCGGGCTCGGCGGCCCTCGCGGGTGGCTCGCCGCGGCGGCGGCGGGCGCGGCGCCGCAGGTCGGCACGGTCGAAGCGGGCGTGCGGAAAAGAGCTGGTATTTGCCGGTCGTTGAAAGTAGGGATTGTGAAGGTCTAGCGGCCGGTGCCGCCGAGCCTGAAAGACATCGACGACGACCAGGAGGGGGGGGAGGAGGAGGAGGAGGAGGAGGAGGAGGAGGAGGAAGAGGAGGAGGAGGGAGGGGCGGAGATAAGGAGGAGGAGGAGGAGGAGGTGGAGGAGGAGGAAAAGGACTCCCGCCGGTCGTTGAAAGTAACCGACTACCCCCGATAATAAATCATCCGCCCGTTCACCCTTTCTAACATGTTCATCCCGTGGCAATGGGATTTAATGGAGGAAAGGGCGCGGAGGCCGAACTTGATAATCCCCGGGGGAAATTGCGAATCGAAGATGTGATAATTTTTTGTTGGTTAGCAAAAGCATCGAAGACGCTGAGCATGGCAATGGTGGTCTCACCATTTCAGTTTCTGCACTCTCGAGCGTGTGGCAGGGCGATGGGATTCTCACCATTTCATTTGTCCCAGGCCACGAACTTGCGGCAGTGCCATGGGAGTCTTACTTTCTTAGCCGTTCCCGAGTCAGGAACGCGTGGCAGGGCTATGGGGACAGACTGGATTTTGAAGTTGCATGCGTTTTTCGATCATGCAGAGCATTGGAGTTACTTTTTTAGCGCATCCTGCATACGGATCGTGACCCCTCCTCGTCCTCCTCCTTTTCTTCCCCCCCGCAACTGCCCAGGCCCGAGCTTCCCCGAGTCTCCGAGACTCCAAGTGTTCGAGCCTGTTCGAGGCACCGAGCTGCACCTCTTCCAGGGGCAACGATGGGGGATGAGGCATAGTTAGGGGGATGCATCGGTCCCCAATCGCCCATTGATCGCAGATAGTGGTTCGATAGCCCGAACCTGCCCAGGAACGTGCGGATTCACAATCGGGCGCCCACCGCCGATGCATCGGCGATGTATCGCCGTTTCCAGGTCGATGTTCTCCCCCCCCCCAATGTTTATCCCCCCCACATCGTTGCCCCTGAGTGCGTCGCGAGCCTCAGCCATGCCCCTGGCCGCCGAGCGCGCCCCGGCAGCGATCCAGCCTGTCGCGGCCCTGCAAGGGTTCTCGAGCCCGAGCTCGAACGAGATTCTCGAGCGCATGGCCAAAATAACGAGAAGATCCTCGACAAGCTGTCTTTCGTCGCGGACAAGATCTCCGTTGCCGAGATGTGCCAGCGCCGATCGAGCGCGCAATGCATTGACGCAGCAAGAATGACGGCCTGATTCTTCCAGGCGTGGAGCGCCTGGTGGTCGGTGAGCGCACAGCAAGCCGCCCTCGAGATGGTCGACAACGGTCGTTCTCTCACAAGCACCGGGCGCGGGCGCGACTTCAACGAGCAGGGCGAGGCGCGTCGAGTTGGCGGTGGCGTTGTTCTGCAAGACCTACTGCGAGAATGACGCCCGCCTCTGCGACGTCTTCGGGAATCGCGGAGAGCCGCCCGAGAACCTCCTTTCTGGCCCATGCCGAGCTTCAAGTCGAAGATGCTCGAGCTTGCCAAGAAGAAGGACATCGAGCTCGGCGCCGAGGGCGCCCGGCGCCTCTGCTTCGGCCACTGTTCCGAGCGCGTCAGCAAAGGCCCTCCCCGACGCCCCCTCCGAGCTCCTCAACCTCCACGACCTCGTGCTGCCGATCAACGAGAGCTTCGAGCCCGTCGAGAAGGTGGGCGAGGAGTTCTTCTCCGGCGTGACAGACGATCAGCGCTCCGAGATGCGCCCCCACGCCGCGCAGTTCGTCAATTGGCGCCGCGCCAACGGCGCGGCGACGTCGGCGCGCGAGCCGCCGCGCAAGCGGTCGCCAGGTGGCGCTGGAGCCTCGAGCGCGCTGCCGACGCGGCCCACGCGCTCCAGGAGCGGAGCTACCAGGGCAGGCGCTCCACGCGCGATTGCGCAAGCACCGAGAGGCAGCGCAGCTTCGAGACAATGGTTAGCAACCAGCACGCCCAGATAAATTTCGTAGAGTTCGCCAAGATCCACGCCGACTACGACAAGATCACCAGCCAGAGCGGGCCCAAAGAGAGCCAGGCCGACGCGAAGGCCGAGCCGGAGGCCGACGAGTCGACGCCGAAGGACGCTTGAGACCAGAGCGGCGGCGATCGCCACGCGCACGAGCGCCCCATGCCAAGCGCCCCCGTGCTTTTTCGCCACGAGGGCGCCGCGCGAGCGTCTCGAGGCGCGCGCTCGAGCCCCATCTGCTCTCAAGCTCCAAGCGAGCGCTCGAGCACACGCGAGTGGCGTTCCAAGCCGCAGGGGGCCCCCCCCCCCCCCCCCCCCCCCCCCCCCCCCCGCGAGTGACCCTCGATCAAGAATCAAGCAATCAAGCAGGCTCGATCCTCCACCCTCGGATCGATGATCCGAGTTCTTGAGCCCGAGCATATTCGAGCACTTTGGATCGGAGATCCGGAGGTCGCCAGGCTCAGACTCGAAGATCTCGGGTTCGCGATCCGAGGATCAAGGATCGAGCCTCGGCGATCGTCGATCGCCACCGCCGCCGTCGTCTGCGCCAGGCCGCCATCAAGGAGGCTCGATCCTCGGATCGAGGATCCGAGATCTTGATCCCGAGCAGCTTCTAGCGCCTTGGATCCTCGATCCGAGGATCGCCAGGCTTGGGCTCGAAGATCTCGGGCTTGCGATCCGAAGGTCGAGGATTCGGCCTCAGCGATCGCCTATTTCCCTCATCGCCGTCCTCGGGCCCAGACCGCCACCGCGCAGGCTCGACCCTCGGGTCGAAGATCGAGGATCAGAGGTCTTGGTTCCGAGCATATTTGGGCGCCTTGGATCCAAGATCCGAGGGTCGCCGCGCCCGGCCTCGAAGATCTCGGCTTCGTGATCCGAGGATCGAGGGTCGAGCCTCGGCGATCGTCGATCGCCCCCGTCGCCGCCTTCGGGCTGAGACCGCCATCGGGGAGGCTCGATCCTTGATTCTCGGACCGAGGGTCCGGGATCTTGGCTTCGAGCGCCTTCGAGCACCTTGGGTCCTAG